CCCCCCACTTTCTTTTAATTCAGAAGAAAGGGCCACTAAAGCCCTTGCCATCCCCTTACTCTTTTCACCACCTCATTTTGTACCAGCGCAAGAAGTCCAGCCCTGGCTGAGATTGCTGATACAGTGCTAATGCAACATAAAGGCAGAGGGGATGTGTATGCACTGTGGAGAGAAATTATGATGAGGGACCAGGAATATTCAATCTGTTGCCTTTGCTCTTCCACAAAACACTCTCATTGCTGGGGAGATAAGGCTCTGTCTTTTCTGAAATAGGTTAATCATATTGTGTCCTTTGGCAGGCTTCAGGGGTTTTTTTCACTCTTTCTTTCTGCCTATCTCTGTTAGTTTTGGGATTTTTTTGAAAAGGAGAAATAAAGGCCATTGTGTCCACTCTTGGAGTGGCAAAGTTAGGGAGGAAGATTACAGTTACTCAGTTTGGAGTATTCTCAGATTTTTAATGCCTAGATCATATGAAACATGGCCAGAAGAACCTGGTTATCACTAAAGCTGTCAGACCCAGATTCTCCTCATTACAGCATCTCTCCCAGTGGAGGCAGCACTAAGTAGTCCTGCTCATAATTCCTACTTTCTGGGAATTGCCTCTGCACTGCTCTTGGCCCACAGCATGCTCATGCATGCTGAATAAGTAGCATCATAACTGTCTTGCCAACCTTTCCTTGGCAGTCTCCCTCCTAAGCACTGAGCAGACCCTTCTTGCTGCAAAGCTGACAAGTTACCCTACAGCTATGGTGGTGCTGTGGGAGGACAGGACACGCACTAGCATGACATCCCTCCTGCTAGTGCCCCAGAGCACATACGACATAGGAGGTAATGTAATGACAGCTTACAGCTCCATTCCCTTGCTCATCCCTCTCTCTTAAGTAAATTTTAGGTATCTGATGCATATAATGCTATTATGGACATAAGCACAATGTGTTACTTTAGGTTTTCAAAAGCTGACCTTCTCCTTCTCTCCCTTATTTTCAGGCACCAATAGCTTCAGGTACACTGCTGTTTTCAGCAGCCACAAGCTCAAAATTAGATCAGTTGCTTTTACTTAGTCAAAATGCTTCATGTTAAGGCCAGTGATCTGCACGTGCCCAAATCATGGGGTGAAAAGGGAGGAAAGGTAAACATGGGAGAGGGTGGTAAACCAGACCAGTTCTTTCAGCACATCTTTCTTGCCAAAGAAAATATCCAGCTAACAATAACAGATTCACCCCTCTCCTTATGAGCCTCCTGCTCAGCAGGATTTTCTGTTTTCCCCTGGGTAGAAGTACAAAGATGTGGAGCCAACTCTGAAGATCAAAGAGGTAGATGGCTTGGAGCTGGTGAAGAAGTTCTCAGAGCAGATGGAAAGCATGCTCCGCAGGAAGGTTGAAGCTGTTGAGGTATGACCACGGTGACTATGGGAAGCAAGTCCTCTCCCATCAGCCTCAGAGCCATAGACTCAGGCCTCCCGTCTGTACCAGGAGTATGTGGGCGCAGAGGTTGCATGAGGACTTCCTTGCCCAACCAAATGCTTGCTGGTGCAGCTGGCTCACTCTGAGCTTTAAGTAGAAACTGGTGGGAGGATGTGGGTGTTCAGACAAGGGAATGCTGGCTTCTCCTTCAGCCCAAAGTAGGAAATAAGATAAAAACAAAGTCTAGGAATAAATATGAAGGAATGAACACTCTTTTAGGAGAAAAGAGGTTTGATTCTATAGCTATTTAAAGAGGAAAAAAAAACCTCTCATGAGTGAAAAAAAGTTCATCCTTGCATAATGCCCTCTGGGCCATTGAAGAGTGGTAGCTTGTTTCATCTGTGTGTGTGGCTCAAGGGAAATTCCTGCATCCCCTGAACATGAGCTGCAAGGAAGGTGCTTGGATTTCCAGCTGTGTACATGGGGAAGCATGGAGGAGGTGGCAAGAGGATTTTAGCTGTTGGCGTGTTGGAGATCAGAGCAGGTAATCATTATGGCCCTCTTACTTCTTGCATCTAAGGTTCTATCATGTTCCCTCATATTTACCCACTATGAAAAGCATATTTCTGTAGTCACAGAGCCTTGACTGTTTAAGTCATCTAATGTGGAAAAGTCATCCAGAAACACATAATTTGAATCTCAAAGTGAAATGTGGGCATTTTTAGATCCAGAGCTTTGGCCCATAACATTAAATTAATAGCCAGACTTTTCCAATGTTTGGATTGCCTTATCCTTTGTGAAGGAGTAAAAAATAGTTTTGCTGAAAATGTTGCTGATTGTGCAACTCTGAAAATATGTACATGTTCAGCTGGATTTCTTCCCATTCTGTACCAATTGAGAATTAGTGCCCTCAAGCATCATACTGGAGAATACTAGTTGATTATATTGCCTTCCATAAATGGTAAGAGCTTATAAATGGTCACAACATCACTGAGCCCTTTACAAAATCGAGTCATGGTCTTTGTCTCAGTAACAATACCAAATTGAGACTCCGACAAGGCCTTTTCCTTTGATGACATGCTGACATCAGGCTGGGTCTGAGATGCCTTTCCCATGGCTTTTTGGAAGGGTTCATGGAAAATGAAATTAAATCTCTGGCTTTCGTTTCTCTAAATGGACATGTTTCTGTTTGCATATGTCCTGTGATATCTAAGATTCCTCAGGGATTTAGCAGGGACTCTGGAGTAAGTAGGTGTGAATATACTTGGCAATAAATAGCTGTGAATATACTTTCCAAGCTGTAAAGTTGCAGCACAGAAAGACAGGTCAGCAGAAAAGCGGGGAAAGAGGGAAGTTTGTAGCCCTGTGACTCTGTTGTGGTGAAGGAAGCAGTTGTGTGTCTTTTCACTAACTGTGTGAATGGCTGATACAGCTGGAAGAGCTCCTGGAGGGCTTTCCACAGCACCCCCTCATCCTTCTTTCTGTGTGCTTGCATTAGAGGTTGGTGGAAGCAGCAGAAGACGCAGATCTGAACCATGAATACAACTCCTCGCTGGAGGTAAGTCTACCCTGGTCAATGACAAAATACGGCGTTCATCCTCAGAGAGACTAGCCAAAAGGCAAGCCTACCAGCACCCAGCCACCTCAGGTTCCTGAACAGGATAGGAGTTTCCTTGTCTTCAGGATGCTCAGCTTGTCTAGAAACTAGTGTAAGAGACTCCCCTGGCAGATCCCAAACCTAGTAACACCAAGGAGATTATTCCCTTTGGCTCCAGGAGGGAAAGGATTTGGGAAGACACAGGGTTGGGTGACATTATTGGCATTACATTTTCTGTACACCAGCGTTGTCATTATGTGACACGTTAGTGCAAATTAGCTGGCGCTTTGTGGGTTACTTGACTGGAAAATGAAATAAAAATTGAGTATGTATGAGCAACAAGGAGGATGCTGTTACAAATACAGCAAACCACTAATTCCAATAAACTGAGTTTCCCACCATCTTTCTCAACAGCTCCCGTCATCTTTTCTCTAACCTGCAGGCACCCACTTGTCAGGACTTCCCATTAGGTGAAAGTTTGGTGCTGTCCAAGCAATTTGGATAACTGGCTTTCTGTTAATAATTGTTTGTTGTAGCCAAGCTATGGGATTATTGCTGGTGAAGGGAACTGGTGTGAAAACTCTGATGAAGGAAGTCCACTGTTCACAGTACAAGCACAGAGTGCTTAGCAGAAGTACAGGCTACCCCTGCAAGTATATCTCTCCATGCTGGGAAAGGGTGGGACTGAAAACAGCTATTGAAATCAAGCTAGCTACCAGTTTAACCTCTCCTACCTCTTTATTTAAGAATCACATAACAGTCATGCTAGTTGGTTCAGCTGCATTCACCATAAGGGTCATGGAGGAGTCGAGGTACATGCCCTGTATTCACACACACAATTTGCACTCCCTGAGTACTGTTAATGCTGGAACATAAATCCTTAAATAATTTCTGTCCTCAGATAAAGTCAACAAAAATATCTTAAAAACATCTGTTATCCAAGGGTGAAGAGTGTCCTGGAGATACTAAACTGACTGAAGATGCTAAATCCCCAGTGGCCTTCACAGGAGGAACACTGCGTTGTCTTTGAGCACCTTCTGCTCTATCCTTTGCTCTTGATGAGTGCCTGCTGCTTGGAGTGACAGAGTGAGGGGATAATCCTTGCTGCACGTATATCAGGAGTTAACTCTAGTAAATGACAGCTGTAGAGACAGGGCAAGTAAGGTCAGCATCAGCATGCCCTGTAGCAAACCTGGGAGCCAGAGCCAGTGAGACACTCGACCTCTTTGACTAGTTACTTAAATACCTCTGAGGGACCCTGGAAGTCTGCACCGTGTCCCTTTGCTCTCACATGTCTCTTCTGCTGGTTACGACCATGCTTTCAGTCATACGAGCACCTGACAATAAGAAACTGGGCAGAAATCATCATTTAGGTTACTTGATGTTTTACAGTTGGTAATGGCTCTTGTTTTCTGCTTATCTTGATCCTGTTTGAAGCCCGAATTCTCCAGATGTCCCTTGTTTATGTTTTAAAGAGTGTTTTTTTTCAGGCAGTACTGCTAATAGTCTGTCTTTTTCTTTCTTGTTGCCTTTCTCTTTTCCATTGTCTTCATCAACAGTTTGATTACTACAACTCTCTCCTGATTAATGATAAGGATGAAAATGACAATTATGTAGAGCTTGGAGACGAATTCATTTTGGAGCCAAATGAGCATTTCAATAACCTGCTGGTGAACACAACATACAGTGATATCCAGCTCCCCACCAACGTCTACAACAAAGGTAATGGCCTCTACTGGCCTCTACTTTCTCACTACTAGTAGGTTGCTGTGGAAACTACCAGTAATAATATTGGAAGAATGGATGGGAATAAAAAAAAAAAACCTGTCAGAAATACAATAGGGCTGGAAAGGTACTGGTCCAAGGCACAGTGATGTCTGTGCTGTAGTCTGTGACTGTGACAGGGCTTAGGTATAATCCGCTCTTGGAAGACCTCTGATGATAGGCAGTCCTCCATCTTAGGCAGGCAGTAAAGTCTCCTAGGCTTCATCTACCCAACCAAAGATGCTGTGAAACAAACTGATGTGAATTCATTGACAACTGTTACTCTGTACAAATGGGTCAGATCTATCAAGGTCTTTAGGTATCAAGGATCTCATTGATTTCCGATTAGAATTTAGACCTCAAGTATCTTTGTGTTATGAGACACTAACATCTCACGGGGACAGTCTTAATTTCCAGTGAGTGTATCTGTAGGGAACTGGGGGTAATTCACAGCTGCTACTGGGACATGACTGTTGTGGGCTGTTTTCCATTCTCAGCAAACCTTTGGCACTTTGGCAACACAGGAGCCCAGGGAGGCACTGATGTTCACATGGCCTCATCCTTGCCCAGACTGTGTCCACTCCCCCTGCACATCACACCACTCCAGCTACGCACCAGAAACTGGTCCATCTCCAGGCTGGTCAGCACTCTGCCAAATCTGTAGGCTGAGGCACCAGTTGCAATTGTTCTAAGTTTACTGCTCTTTTTGGCCAACATTTGAAGCTGTCTGAACTGGCTCCTTCCCTGCCTCCCCATCATCTCTTCCCCTTGCATACATTTTGGCAAGAAAAAAACAAAAGCGGCATTACTTCTCTCATAGATAGAGTTAATTTACAGTCTTCAGAACCAGACAGGGCAGGCACTGGTGACTGTGCTCACAACCGCTACATTGTTTAAGAGGGACAATAGATCGAGTTCTATTTCTCCCATGATTTTAAATTAATTCCATCTGGTCTGACAGCCCCGGACACTAAAATCTTGCTTACCATAGAGCCACCAGCAGAGCTGGCTGTGGGTAGCTACAGCAGAGCTACACAAAGTAGGCTGCTGCGCACAGCAGCATAGAGAAGAAGTGGCCAAATGGCCACTGTCAGAGACAGCAGAGAGGCACTCCCCAGCTATCTGATTTCTTGCCTGTACAGCTTGACACAGACCACCCAGCTGCTCTGGCTATGGCTGGAGGATGAGCAGGAGGTGGAGGAGGAGAGCTGCTTCCATGCCCGGGGCTCCTCCTGGGAGCAGTGCCTGGCAATACTCATTGCCTCTCTTGCAACCAGCAGCAAGCCTGGCTCTCCACAGCTCTTCTGGCTCCCTTTCTACATGAGTTACTTTGGCCTCATTGCTGGGGAGTCATAGTTAATTTTTTCTCCTATTTTGACCAAAACCGCCTTTAGTAAAGTGACTAACAGGAAGTGGTGGGTCAAAGCCCCATCCCTCTCAACAGTAATACAGTTAATCCTAAAATGGCCAGTTTCTTATAATTCCCTGTTTCTATTGCTGCTGCTCTGCTTGGTCTCCTGAGGCAATGAGTCAACACAGACACCAAATATACACTGCCTCTTACAAGCTTTTGAAAGTCTGCAACTTCTTATTGATTCTGATGAGATCAGGGGCATGGGAGGACAGCTAAAGCTTTGTGAAAGAAAGGGCAGACAAAGAAGAAAAGAAAGAATTATTGGGGGAAAGAGGGCAGAGAGTGAGAGAGAAACGGCTCTTCTGTCTTAGATAAATGCATCTATCATAAATTTAAACACTCTTTGTAGAAAAGCTGTTCCACTTAGTGGTGCATCAGGCAGTTGCCCTACAACAGCCACATATCTCCTCTTAGGTAGCAGCTGAGTCTCACCAGTGTGGTGTGCCAGTTGTGCTCAGCACAGTGCTGGTATTCCTGGGTCTCTCAGAGCCCTCTTCCAACCAGATGTAATGCCCAAGGGCAGAGAAGACTGGAAGGAGAAATGGGAATAATAACACATGACCAAGCTGAGAATGCCTGTAGTGGCCAGTGGCAACCTGCCCTCCAGGATTTTCTTGAATGATGTATCCAATTCCCTGCCCAACGTCAAAGCTTTGGACAAGGCTGCATTCCTCCTGTGACTGCCTTTGTTCCCATCCCCCTCCTCCATCGGGGGTGATGGGTGTCCTCTCCTCTTCTGCACCCTTTTTTCCCATTTTCTGTTCTTTCCCCCACAGACCCTGACATCCTGAACGGTGTTTACATGTCAGAAGCCTTGAATCCTATCTTTGTGGACAACTTTGAAAGGGATCCCACACTGACCTGGCAGTATTTTGGCAGCTCCACTGGATTCTTCAGGCTCTACCCAGGTAAAAGATAGCCTTTGCTCTTTCAGTGCAATGCAGTAGTCTTCCAGGACAGGGTCCGTGACATGGAAGAGCCCAATCCGGGAAGGCTGGGAACAGCATGGCCCCATGAAGGGCAGGGTGTAGTGAGCAAAATACTCAGTGGAGGGGTTGCTGCAGCTTAGGCTGAAGGAATATTGTCCACCACAGGCATAAACCCCTTTTTCCCCTTGTGGACCAGCCCCCCAGGCATGTTGCCCTTGCAACCCCAGAGCAGTCTGCTTGCAGGGTTGTGCCTCAGGCAGTCTGCCCTCCAAAAAGCTCACAAAACACCATGGCAGGACCTGGGAATCCCACAGGCAGGATGTGGAGGCTGCAGAAGGGCTCCCTGCCTCATGCTCCTCTGCGGTTTTTAGTGGTGGCCACAACCTCTCCCCATCTCCGAGGCCACACGTGGCAGACGCAGCTGGCCAGCCTGACTTGTTATCCACTCACCAGCTGTGAGCAGCATGTAAGGTCACAGCGCAAGAGGGAGGCCCCGTGCTCGGAGGAACCCACGAGATCCTCTGCAGCTGTAGCTTGGCCTGGTGGCCCCTTCGTCAGATGGCGGCATGCCCTTGTTCTGTGACCTGTCACGTGTTGTGGAAGAGGAAAGCAGAGACGACTGTGAACACAGTCTTTAGCAGGGAATCTGGGACACGTCCCTGTCCCTGCTGCTGCTTTTTTATGCTCTCAGCCACCCTTGGGGAGAAAAAGAAGTTTCTGAGACCTACATCAAGGTGGCAGAAAGTTCAAAGTGAGAGCAATTGCTCCCCAAATTAGAAAAGACTATGCTTAATAAGCAGTTTAATGAGAACTGCCAAAAACCATGCAGCTCTGCTTTTCTGCAGAATGGCCACTGCTATTGCTGGCCAGCCTTGCGTGCCCCGCCGGGGTGGCCAGTTCTCAGCAGTGAACAGCAGAAGCGCGAGTGCCTGGGGAGCGGGGAGCAGACACCTGCCTGTCTCTGAGCGTTGATTGCTCCTTTTGCTGCTCCCTTCAGGAATAAAGTGGTTACCAGATGAGAACGGAGTTATCTCCTTTGACTGCAGGAATCGTGGCTGGTAAGAGTTCTGAAGAGACTTGGCCAAAGCACCTTTCAGTCTTCCTCCCTCTTTTCCAAGGTGACACCCTGGTGAGTTGCTGATCAGCAGTTACTGCCCCATTCTGCTCCTGTAAGAGAGAGGCGGAGCACACAAATGAAGGCAACAGAAGGTTTGGAAGCCCTAACAGCTGCCAGAGACAGCTTTCCACGTGGCATCTAACGTGTCACATGGGAATCGCCACCACTGTACCCTTTCTCTGTCCGATCCTCCTTATAATTCTGTGATGGGAGGGACGGGGCTGTTCAGACTGCAGAAATGTGGGGCATTTACTCTGTCTAGTCAGCATGGCTAAAGGAGGCTTTAGCAATTGTCACTCTCAGCTGACTCTGGACATCTGCAGCAGGCCCAGCACTTGCCAATGTGGGAATTGAGATGCTGGGGCCAGTGGAAGAAGCAGGCTGGTAGGAAGGGATGCACCAGATGATGCCTGACCCTGATGATAGCTGTGCTTGTGGTGCACGTAGTGCTGCAGCTAGCATCGTGTGACAGCAGCACACCTAGCGTTCCTCCTCCCCGTACACTCAACCAACTTCCTTGTATTCTTCTTTTTATAAAGGTACATCCAAGCAGCCACCTCTCCCAAGGACATTGTCATCATTGTGGACGTCAGTGGGAGCATGAAGGGCCTGCGGATGACCATTGCCAAACACACCATCATCACTATTTTAGATACTCTGGGAGAAAATGACTTTGTCAACATAATTGCAGTAAGTACGTCCCATTTCCAGTGCTGAGTTGTCTTCCTCATGCCTTATACCAACCCTTCAGTCCTCATAGAAGAAGACTACAGGCATTACATTGGTGTTTACCACACTGAGTACCTATGCTGGATGGGGGATTAAAACAAATTACCCTTGGGAAGTTGGTTTTGTGTGGTCAGTAGGGTGGCTGCTAAGTAATCTCACCCCCCACATGGAGGATGTCAGCTGCATCTTTTTGCTTACTTAGCGATGTGACTGCGACAGATAACAAAGTGCTGTAGAGAGACACCTGAGCTAACGGGGACCTGAGCTAATAAATTCACATAGCATAGCATAATACTGTGTTTGGGTCTGGTAGCAGTATAATCCTCAGGACAATGTCTCCAGGCTAGAAAATTACCACCATATGCCTTTTTGTGCACCAGCATCCTGCAAGGCTACAATCCAGTTAAAAGTCAGTCTGCAAAGGCCCACATGGAGTTTGGTCAGGTTGCCTGAGTGTTTCTTTCTCCTTTTTTAAGCCCTGGCCAGAATGAGGATTGGCCAATTACCCACAGAGAATCAATACCACTGACCACATAAAAATTTTT